TTATTATTATTATTATTATTATTATTATTATTATTATTATTATTATTATTATTATTATTATTATTATTATTATTTGCCGTCTCAATACAATGTCATGACAAATTTTGCATTTTTATTTCTAAACAATTTTTTAAATCAAGTATGAGATCTATATTACTTTACATCAGTTTAAGCTGGTGTACCACATAACATTTAAGTAAAATCTCATTGAAGTTTGTTAATATGATGTGACAAGTTCTGTAAAAGTTAAAGTGGAATTAATACTTTGCAAGGAGGCAAAACCTTTTTTATATATTTCAGTTTATTCTATGGTAATTCCGTCTGCAGATTGCACAGGTACCATTTCTTATTTAATACATTATAAAGGCTCATTAGTCAGCAGATGCTGCACTGTGTAATATGAAACTCACTATGAACTTCTAAATAATTCAACCATGAATTTCTTCTACTTTTAAACAAATAAATTGTTACTTCTGTTTTCATTCACCTCCTCGCATCTTTGTAAGGAATGGCATTAAAATAAATTTGACAATGTAAAAAAAGTGGGATAAGAACTTTAGAAAAGGAATGATAAGAAGGAATTCATTTCCTCATCTACACACACGTAGATGACTATAATATTCAAAATGTATCTCTTTGCTATTCAACTTTGCTGTAATCATAAATATCCCCAGGCAGAATACAGTCACCAAAGCATGAACTGTAACACATATGCAGCCAGAAGGAGGCCTGAGAATCACGTCTTTGAAAATGGCACAACTTCCAGGGCATAAATTGTCTTATTGGAGATGGGGTGGAGCTTTAGCTATAATCTCTATCATCCTATTGACAAAAAGAGGATCAGACTGCAGTTAACCCCAGCATGATGAGATGAAACAGATTACGATGTATCAAGATTCCTTGATATGATAAAGCCGCAAGGGGTATATGTGAGCCTTTGTGATATTTCAGACATATTAGAAACGGTTTTATCTGATATAATGCAGGGTTGAGCGAAAAAAAAAAAAAATCCTTTATTGTCTATTTGATATATTTTGGCTGAAGAGATTCTCTACTTCTCATGTCAAACTTAAGTCGCTGGAGGACTTACTTGAACGTCATCTGAGGAAGGCTCGTAGCTCGCCCTCTTGAAGGTCTCTGTCACATTGCGAAGGATCTCCACTGATGAGAGTAGGTCACCGGCATAGAAGTTCCTCGGCTGGGTGTAGTTCAGCAGGTTCTTGGTAACCTTGGACATGCCGTCCCCCGCCAGAGTCCTCTGGCCCTTCGCAAGATGGCTCTGAACCTCCAAGAACAGGAGAAGAAAGAACTTGGGGCATCAGTGTCCTCTTGCCAGTTTGTAAGGCACACATGGAGCTACACATTTGGAGTAAATGGAGTGCAAAAAATCGGGAAGAAAAGAGTCGACTCTTCGAGGCCCTTCATTTGACACTTATATCTAAGCTGGGCTGAAATGCTTTGTGCCTCACGGATGTTTTGAAATGAGCCAATATGAATAAAGGAGGTAACTGGAGCAGAAGACACATATTTAGGCAGAAACTGCATGGAGAAATTACATTTCACATCACTGCACAGGAATTATGTCCATAAATACATGTTCACAGGTGCAGGACCGTATGTGCTATCTCAGCCTTTGTAGATTATTTTCTTCTAACAGTGAGGGGGAGCTTAGCAGAATTATCTATTCTAGATAATGTACTACTGTGTTTCCAGACTATGCAGAGGAATCTTGCGAACTTATTTCTAAGTGGCTTTCAAAAAAACTAATGATTTTGGGGTGTAGAGAAAAGTGGAAAAAACAGAGGTCACATATATTACTAGATTTTTCTCCAATTCTCTCCTGCTTACATGCTTGTTTTAAAGAACATAAAGTTTACAATACAAATAATAAAACATAGCAAATTACATTCAGCCAATACATGTCATCAGCCTATTTCAGTGTGTTCAGAATAAGAACAGCGATGCAGATAAGAACATGCCACAAACCAGGCGTGCCCAGGTCCAGTCCTTACAACTTTCAGATTCATCCCTGCTCCAATGTGTTGAGTAAAAAGGCTGACTTCTCTTACTAGCAGTAACTCAGCTCTGCAAAGGTCTGATTCATTTGATCAAGGTGTGTTGGAGTCGTTGAGATGGTAGCTCTCGAGGACTGGACTTGGGCACCCCTGCCATGAAACAACAAATCAAACAGTCCGATACCCAGACTGTTATCTAAAAAGATAATACGACCAAATCTGTATTTTAATTTGCAGATTAACCACGTTCACCATCGAAAGGGGTTAATCTTTGGCTACAGTGTGATGAGATCAAGGGGGCGGGAAAACACTGGGGAGGTAATTTATGATCCATTGGACACAGAGGCTGTGAAAGGAAGCTGACTTTGCACCTACTGTTTGCTGCAAGTATCTGAATTCATTTGTTATGCATCGAGCGTAGCTGGGCTTCTCCCAATAGGCCATGCCGCGGTGATCCAAAGAGCAGCGTCGACTAGTGGTGCCTGCAAGAGCGGAGGGGGGACGGCGACAGATTCAGAGAGCGGAATCAGAGAAGGAGGGATAAGAGCAGAGATGAGTAAGCACAGAGAACACAAAGAGGGGAAAGGGTATGTGGGATTAGGGGGAAAGCATAGGAAGGCAGGAAGGCAATTGGGAGTGGTGGAATGGAAAGGGGAGAGACAAAAAGAACAGGGAGAAATAACTGTTTTTTTGTGAGAGAATTATCACTTTTTCCATGCTCATCTTATGGGCATGTAGTTCAAAAGCAAAATACCATGATTTTTGTCATCAGGGTTTGTGTAGAAAATAAATTGTATTGTTATAAAAAGAGTAAAACCAGGTAGCCTGGCAAGAAAACAATGGCATTTAAGAATAACGTTGCTTTGCTTTAACAAACGACATAATCCGATTGATATTTATTAGTATTTTCCAGACGGTGCTGATACAGCTTTGAGCTTTGAGCCACAGCATGGAGCAGCTCAATAATAACAAATAAAAACTAGGTTATACCAAATTATCAATATGCACTGCAGACAAAATGAATGAGAAAACCATAACCTTAAGCAATAAAAGTAAACATTTCCAGAAAACATCCTACATACCAATAACAGCTGCTTCATGTACTTCAAGTTGAAAACAAACCCCTAAACAATTATTGTAATTATTCTGTTCTACTTACAGTGGAGGTAGCTTTAAGATACCACACAGTTGAGTAATTTTTTGTAATTTTTATTTCTTTTTTATTTATTTATTTATTTTACTATGCTGTTTGATAAAATTATTCGACTTCAAAGGATCAGTTTTCATTGTTAAGCTGATGACACTCAGTTGTACTCATCCAAAAATCTAATTAAATTACCAGTTGTGGTAATTGTGTCCCCACATCAAATTCTATTCCGGACTCCCTAACTCCAGCCAGTTTTGTCTGCCTGGCTTTTAAACAGAGACATGGTTAACAGAAGAGCGACCCAATATCCACCCACATCACAGCGTACAGCCGACATAAGGGTCCAATATCACTAGGAGTGCACTTCACACGTCACCTTACTGCTTCAGCACAGGCACTTCATATCCTAAAGGAAAACTCCAGAGGTACAAAATATTTCCCTGGGTATCTGCACTTCAGACAAGCTCTTTACTATTTCCTCTTCCTCCACACACACACACACACACACACACAGAATTAGATCCAAACCAGACCTCCAACACCCATTCAACTCCACAGCCACAGCTTGGAGTTTTGTCTTAAATCTTGAACACGCGCAAAACACTATTACACCCTGGGAGCGCCCGTGCAGCACCATGAGGCAGCCCACAGGACAGCATCACCTGCCTTCTGCTTTATACTGCGCTAAGCATCTGTTTCCCTCTAAACCGGCTTCTCCTGGGTGCTGTATGTCACATTTCAGCCATCAAAAGAATACTCTGAGGCTCCACGACTCAATGAAGTCACCAGAGGTGTATCATATTACAGCTTGATACCTGGAAATTAGGCATTCATTTAGTGGTCTAACTGTGACATTTCCAAATGTCACAGTTAACTAAGAGAGGCAACACACCATTCTCTGTGAGAATTGTCAAAAAAGGCACAGAGTAAAGAAACAACATTGAATCCCAGCCATGTTTTATATTATTAAAAAGAAAAGTTTAAATTAACAGAGAAATGTGTTTTTTTTTCTTTGTTTTTGTTTTTTTGAAGATAAAATTTTTAATGACAGATGTCACTATTTGAGTCTTGCATCAACATTAATGACTAAGTTGTGGAATGTGGAAAATTGATCAGAAATTCCACAATGGCAGATTCAAGGCTAAATTAATTTTTAATAGGAAAGACTGGACCCGAGACCGCTTCTGTGCATGAAAAGCTTTACGGAGAAAATATTTATACATTAGTTATAAGTGCGAAAGTCTGGTGTATGCATTACTGAGAGGAGAAGTAACATTTATTTTTCAGTTATTCAAAAAATGTCTCTCATTTTGCTTTGATCCATTTTCATGGTGAGATCATACAGGGTCAGCGGTGGAAAATCAAAACCTTGACATCGAGTCCCTACTAATAAGTCTTTCCGGCCTTGCATCATCTGTGAAGTACGTACAGTACCCTGCATATGAAATGTAGGTCAGTGGAGATGTGTTTGATCAAATTCAAGGCTGCACTCTACTACGACACTGACCTGTTACTGTCTTCCTTAGCAGTGTACCGAGCATGGGTCCTTATTAAAGAGGAACTTTTGTACAAACAGCCTGTCCTCAAGATAAAAGACGCAGCCAGAATTGATTAACAGAGCAGTGAGGGAGAGGGCAGGTCTTCAAAGTTTCGAGAAATATTTTTTGTAACCTTACCACGACAAATGGCGGAATATAAAAATAAAAATTCTCTGGATGATGGAGAAAACCTTTCATGTCTTGGCACTCAAAAGGTGGAAGCTAAATAGAAATACACACCACAACTGATATTATTTGGAAACTAATTTTGAAAGCTACTTATAGTGTTCTTCCCATTTCACTATTGTGAATGATTGTGATTGCAATCTACATATTGCTGACATGTAGATTTACGTCAGCAATATAGTATCATGGTGCGATGTCAAAAAAGTGGTATAAAACATGAGCATGTGTCTGTACTATTCCTATTAAAAACAATTTTACACATATCAGAAATTACAAACTCTAACTGCGCATATACATGTTAAAGAATGATGAAACATTTTGCTAAATGTGTAGTGGGTTTGGCTTCTTTTTCAACAACAGATTGTTTTATTTAGAAGAAAGGAACTTTACCTAATAAATAGCTTTTTATGATCCACTAAATGTATATAACACATGGACAACATGAGCACTGAAATGGTTTTTCTGCTTGTTTCATTTTGCTTTGTTAATTTCTTTCAACTTAGGTTTATCTAATGCAAAATGATATATGCAGTAAAGGTATCCTTTATACATAAATAAAATATAACATAAATCTATGTGCTGCGTGTGTGAATCCTCATGTTTTGTCTGTACTTCCTGTCTCTGACACCACTTGTCATCTATGATCACCGAGGCAGTGCTGATGGCCCTGCGCTCCTCCTGTGATGACCTTGATGATCCCACCAACAGGAAGCGAGGCTGTGGAAAAGCCCCTAAACATGTCCGTACTATATTCACGTTTCACTGTTGCTCTTTCAGCTCAGTAGTGTTTTTTTTTTTTTTTTTTTTTAATAGTTTCATAATTTGGACCCCTGTGAAAAACACCTACTGACATTGAAAGTAAGATTAACGGCTTTACAAATAAATCTGACCTTACCTCAGCTGTAGTTAGTCATTATATTTTTTTTCTTCCTGTGGTCTGTGCCAGCTTTGACAAGCAGAGGCACTGTGCTTAAATATGAAATATGTCTGCCATCTCCTGTTTTGTACTTCATCATAATACTGCTCAGAGATAAAGTACTTCTCTGGCAAAGAGGTACGATAACATTAGGAGCAAACTTATGTTTTGGTGCACTGTTCAAAAAAGTCTATCAGCATTGATTATTACGAAGAATATAGATCTGAACTTCTCAGCTCCAAATTTTGTATTTCTTTAGACTCAAATCTCCAGGGTTCTTGGTCTTTTTCAGCTCATTAGAAAAAAAAAAAAAAAAAAAAAAAAAAAGAAATACAACATTTCAGGAAGGAAGTTTTAAACTATATATATATATATATATATATATATATATATATATATATACATTTTGATGGATGTATGTATGGATGGATGGAATGAAGCCTTGAAATACAAATATTTCTTGTAATCTGTATATTTTTATGCCTTTTCAAACCTAGAACAGAATTAAATCAAATTACAAACTTTTCCTGGTTGTATGGGAACTCAGTGCTCTCAATGAAATAAAATCTGCTGATAAAAAAAAAATAAATAAATAAAGTGCTAGATTTTGGCTAAATTTGGCTATTACGATATAACCTTTCCACAAATCCAGGGTTAATGTTTCCCTTAACAAGTCCAAAATAAGTAAAAAGAAACACACACACACACACACACAGTACACACCTGAAGCTACTGCATGCACAGTGTCAAGCAGTTATTGACCATAAAACTAATGTCAAGCCTGAAAGTTAATGTCATTCTAGTAAATCTTCCTCTGCTTAACTTTGCCCCAGGTGAGCCATCTGTGAATAACAGTGAGTTTGCAACCAGTTTGCCAGAGTCCCACTTCTTTCCTATGAAATAAATGTCAGATAGGAACACCAGAGCAACAGCTCACTGTGCCAAACCCACATCTAACCTCAGCGTCCAAAACCCCCCCTCCTCGTTCTGTTGCATGTTTGTTAGCAGTTTGACCTTCAGCAAAAACAAAGGTATCACAGCAGATATATCACAGGCTCCATTCTTTGTCAACGTTTTACTTCTCTCTCTTCTTCCCCTTCTTCTCTTCCTCTCCTGCCCCTCCCTCAAATTCAAAACATGCATCACCTGTTCTCTTCTCTCAGTCTACACATCCATGTCCTTTGCTTCATGTCTGATAAGGCATCTCAGTGTGGCTTTCTTCAACCTTTAACAATGCCTTTGGGATCAAAGTTAGCCATTTTTCCCATTCAGTGCACAGGCTGTGGTCTGACAGGGGCAGCCTGGAGTAACCCCAGAGAATATGGAAATGGACTGAATGAATATGTGCTGTGTTCTCAGATGAAGAAACACAGTCTGGTATAAAACTGTACAAGCATATTGTTCATTTGGCAGAGGGTTTTCACTACATCACAGTTGGGAGAAACACTTCCTTAAAGAAGAAGAGCACAAAAACTGGAGGAAGTTAAAAAGTTTAACCTACAACTCTAAAATTGTAAAACTATCCCCGCAACTCTCTAAAATGTGTTGAGGCACTAACTAATTTACGTTCATATTCAATGAGCAGTATTTCCAACACTGAGCATCTGTAGATGTGATTGTACTACTTCAGTGTTTGTTAACTTGCTTTCCTCATTTCATACTGGACTATCATTTCTTACCTGTAGCATTGGGTGGGCATCGGTTGAAAGCGAGCTCTCCCGAAGGGGTCCGTCTCCACACCATCGACATTGCATAGTCCTCTGGACAAATCTCATACGGTGCTGGAGAGTAAAATGATACAAGTGATGCTACAATAATCCAAAGAGCTTTTTTTTTTTTTTTTTTAGTATTTCCAACGTGATGCAACAATTTCTTCATACTTCAGACTAGAATGTATGGAAATATAAGAGATCAAAGCTGCAACAGTGTCAGTGAATATCAGCATGTAATTTAGGGATTATCATAGAACGGTTGCCTCTTAAATTGTGTTTTTTTTTGTGAGTGTGGGGGCTACAAAGTTAAAAGGGGTTTTGATGTTATTTTATTTTATTTATTTTTTTAAATTGCTTTGTGCATTTCACAGAATGGAAGCATTAAGAGACCTTTTGCTTCACACTCCACTTCAAAAAGACACAATGCAACCTGATGATTATTCTGTTTCTCAGTCTGCCCTTAATGCATCAAAGCATACATATTCACACTCCGTCATCCACGTCACCTTATCTCCGTCTCCTTCTGATTCTGCGTTATCTTATCTTGTATAACATGACACGTCACTTATTCTGCACAGATAATTATCAACCCACATCCCTCTTTCCTTGACTGTGACTCCTCAGACTCGAGGCTTATTATCCTCTGACTCACCTGGGCAGCGTTGGTCACTACACTTTCGAACTTCTTCTCCGTTCCCATCACACTGCTGCCCGGTCACCGCCACCCCCTGACACACTCTGACACGCCTTTGCCCTCCTCCATCACAGGACTTAGAGCAGCCGCTCCACGGACCCCAGGGATTCCACTGGCCATTAGCTAAAACAGAATCAATACTGGTGAGAAACTGATACTTTCAGAGAAAAAGAAGAAGAAGAAGAGAAAGCAAAGCCAAAGATACAGTCCGTCTTTGTGTTTTATGTGGTGGCCTTGAAGCTTTTAGCTTGAATGTCATTTTTGATATGTGTTTGATGTGTTTGTTGTTTTAATAAAGTCGTTAGGTGGAACGTTTGGCGACATTGCAAAAAAGAAGACAAGATCTCATGTTTACTGGTTAAAGAAGCTGCTAAAAGAGTGATGAATGAGTCCCTTGCAAATGTAATTACACCTCTGAATCTTTTTCACGTTTTCCCATGCTACACCACTGAAATTCAAGGTATTCGGGGAGAATAGATAGACCAACACATAATTGCACATGAAAGTGAAAGAAAATTATATGCAGTGTTCATAAAATTCTACAAACAAAAGTCTGAAACATGTGGTCTTCATTTGCATTCAGCCTTCTTTACCCCAGTCACCCAAACACAACCCAGGACTATTAGTTATCTCCAGACACTCTCTGAATACTAAATACAGCCCATCTGTAAGTAACTTAGAATCAGTAGATATGCAGATGTTATTCACAGGCCTCAGATGTTTGTTAGAGAACTTCAGAGAACGAACAATATCATGAAAACTAAGAGGTGCCGCACACGGATCTGAAATGAAACTATTAAGAAAAAATGAGATCATGGTTTACAGAACAATACCCAAAGATTTGAACATCTAATGGCGTATTGTTCAATCCATCTCTTGAAAACTAACAAAGAATGGCACAGCTAAAACTTAGAAAGAAAGAATGTATTTTTCCTTCCCTTCAACATTTATGCACTACTTTGTGTTGGTTTATCATATTAAAGCCGCACGTTGCTGTATTTATGGATGCAAGATGACAAAATCACAAAAATAAAACAGACACCTAGGATGTTTTTCATTCAAAAAATTCTCAGATGAAGCAGTATGCGTTCTGTCCTTGTTATGAACACTGTTAAACAACAAAAACTCCTTCCCTTCAGCAACATATTCAGCAACATGCACTTGTCTGAACAGAAAAGCACAACACCCTCTAAGCAGGAAACACGCTCCACTCTCATTTTAACCTCCACTTATCCTTTGCTTCACACATATAAACACATTTTACATCCTACATCTATCCTCCATCAGAACGGCTTCCAGATGAGACAAACAGCAGAAACCCTTACGACCTGTTGGCCAAAACTCTCTGAAGACATTGATCAGATCTTGCTACTTACTCGTGGATCGGTCCACACAGGAGCGATTGATTCCTCAAACAGATGCATGCTCATGTGCTACAAAGAGCTCAATGTGGCAGCAGTTCAAAACAGTAAATTTCAATCCAGCACAGGCCTGAATTATTTTTATATTTGGGAATTTTTTCTATTCCTTTTCAGTCTTGGTTCTACAAATTTCGCCTTGGATCTCACATAGTCAATATGTGTACTTTTCAAAGTAATCATTTATTTTCTGAATAATACTTGGCTTACAGCGTGGGGAAAAAAAAGCTGATAACTGCTATAAGCAGACACAACTTAATAGATTAGCAAATGGTGCAAGGTGTTGATTCACTCGGAGGCAGCACTATCTAAACATAAAATGAAAACTATGAATACTTGAGCTTTAATATCTTATGGACCGAAAAGAGAACAAGGTCAGGGAGCTGGCTGCAAATGTTAGACGGATGGTCTGAAATAGAGAAATTAACTCCTCGTTGATACAATTGAAACACTCAACAAAAGCATTCCAGTGAAACGCAGCACTGAAACCTTGCTGTTTTCCACTGCTGCAGTGGAAATTGCATCAGGAGATTATGGGAGTGCTCAGGCCCTTCACATGATCAGACAATTCAAAGCCTGATCAAGACCATTAAGCTGACGTCTTTGAACGTCTAATACATTCACAATGTTGACAGACAGTTTTGGGCAGCTAACGTTGAATTATGTGAAATGCATACAGTCTATCTAAGCAGATTTTTTTCCAATCCGTTTGATAAAGCAAGGTATTATACATAAGTCTTGATTCTTACAACACAGCTTTGGTTCTTGCTGTCGGGCAAAGGAAAGAGTGCACAAGCTACGTAAAGGCAAGTTGAAAGACTACCCAGACCCGTTGGTAATGATACCGGTATTTAATAATTGTAATAATGTGCAATAAAATACAAGAGACATGCATATAAGCCTCTGTTTGTCATCATCTCCAATTTAGACATAAAAGTGGATAAAGAATTAAGAGGCTCAGGATTTTTACCTGTGCAGTCAGGATTATGGCACTCTCTGCTTTCTGCCCAGTGACCGCGACACTCAGATCCCCCATGGGCGGCTGCTGAGCACTGCCTGGTCCTCTGCTGAGTGCCATTGGCACAGGTCACCGAGCAATCGCTCCAAGAGCTCCACTCCTGCCACTGTCCGTCCACTGAGGCACCAACCACAACCCAACAAGCATGTCCCAAGCGAGGGGGAAAAGAGGGCAGACAGAAACAGGGGGAGATATTCAGATTTTTGTATCCTCTCTCAGATTGAAAGCCAATAAAACAGATATCAAGCAGCGAGCAAACTGTTACATGAACGCTTGTGTTTTTTTCTAAAAAAAAAAAAAAAGAGAGAAAAGAAAAAAAAGGAAATTGTGCAGGCTGGGATTCTGTGCTGCAGTGCCTTGCAAAAAAAAAAAATCCCTTTGAGATTTCATTCACATTCACAAGGAAAATTATATTTTTATTTTTGTCCAAGTAAAAATCTAGTAAGTGTGGTGGGAAAATACATTTAGCCATAATTTCACCATAGTTGTACCTGTAAAGCTTTCAGCGTGTAACTATTGACTTTTTACAAGTAGAGATTGATTTTTTTTTTTCTCATCCTTCTTTGTAAAGTAGTTCTTGGTCAGTAAGAAGCGTCTGTGAACAACATTTTTAAGTTGCGACAGGGCCGACCACGCCAACAGATTTGTATGGTTTGATCTAAACAAATGCATTTTAGCACTGAATGTTGTTCTGTAAAGTCAAGTTTCATGTTTTTAGGTGGCTCTAGCAAATTTACTGCAGTATTGCCCTACATTAAGGTCAATTCATCTTGCTTTCAATTGTGGTCATTCCTGTACCAGCTACAGAAAAGCATCTCCACAGAGCACCTTCTTTATACATGGTTTGTGGCATTTGCAGATGGTCCATTAAAATTTGTTGGAGTAACATAATGAAATGTGGAAAAGTTCAAAGTGTTTAAATATTTTGTGCAAGGCACTGTCATTTTTTTGTTTGTTTGTTTGTTTTTTCATAAACTGGCCTAACTAAGAAATAATCAAAAGCTAAATTATTTTAAATATTATAAAAGAAAATAAGGTTGGTAAAGAATCCCTTACATCAAAATGTATATTATGAAGATTTATAGTTTCTTGCAAGGTGCTTCCAGGAAAAGAGCAAGAACTTAAGGGTTTTCCATGAACTCTGCTTTCCAGAGCACAGCTAACATTCACTGTGTGGAAAAACTCATCACCACTAATCTGCTTACCATTCCCAGGCAATTGCAAGTAAGTGATTTTGATGTTAGTATTACTGTCTTCAATCTCAACAGGGTTTCCTAAACCGCATTATTTTGAAAGAAGGCTCAAATGCAGCACAAATCCTCTATCCGATCTTTCTTGTTGACTTACCTTGACAGTACTGCATAAATTACAGACAACACAGCTTAAGCTGTGTAATTCAGATGAACAGATCTTTTAAAAAATGAGTTCATCTTAAGGATTTCAACTTTTTGAAATCCTCTTATATCCATGCCTTTTGAGAACATTGTTGCAATTGTAAGATAGGAATATATTTAGAGAGCAGACATGTGATACCTGGGCACAGGGCTATGTTGCAAAGTTTAGTCTGGGTCTCAGGTCCATCACAGGCCCTGCCTCCGTGCTGGGGAGGAGCACACATCCTAGTCCTAGTGCGGTGACCCCGGCCACATGTGAATGAGCACAGGCTCCACGGTGACCATTCCTCCCATACACCGTGTACTGCGGGCACAGAAAGGGCGTCAGGCCTAATCAATGTCTCCTTCTTTGTTACAGCATAAACAAACCACTCAAACGTCACTGAGCCAGAAAGGAAATAAAATCAATCACAGTATTTGGCAACATGTTAGTGATACACGCAACACACAGTGCAGAGATTTGCAAAGTCTCCGCCAGAGACATCCAGCTTCTCTAATCTTTTGGGTATTTATTATTTGCAAAACCACAACAAATACTTCTTCACAACCAATTTCACCAAACACCTGAAAATATTGATTAGAAAAAGGAAGTAAATCTCACATAGATGGTTCTCCACAGAGAACGAACTTAGCCCATTTGCTTCAGCTTGAGGCTTCTTGGCTGGAAGGGAGTGTAATAGCAACCAACCTGTGGTGTAATGTGACCTGACAATGTTTGTAGGAATCTGTCCATACACCAAAATATAGATCAAGGGGTTATCACACGAGTCACAACCTGTAACTTGTTTCTAGGCCTCTAAATAGCTAGTGATGTTTTAGACTTTTTCAGGTGATGGCCTTTTAGATTAAATATCAGGAAAATTTGAACTAAAAAAAAAGGAAGCACATTTTATTACGCAGTAGCAACGGGTCATCAAAATGATTTGGAAATTTGGAATTTTCTGCTTTTTTAGACTCTCAGGACAGATTGCTTATTCTCATCTAGTAGGTCAAAAGTAACAGCTTCAAAATAAAAAAAAAGACAAACCTATTTCTTTTTTTATATTTGGATAAAAATACATAATTTATAAAAAAAAAAAAAATGTGATATACTCTAATTCCCAGGGTATTTCTTAACAGTCCAACTCATTGTGTTATTAAAATACGTTGCTCAAAATAATAATAAACTACATTTTGAAAACATAATATATAGTATGCATACATATGCAATATATTTTATCTTCTTTTTCTGAGGTTCTTTTTTAATAATAATTCAATTTGTACAAAAGCAAACATCGGTGTGAACAATAGCCACTTAAAGATGACATCATTATGGCGTTTAGGTTTGCCTCTAAGCTCAGCCACATTGAACTGACAGATGGTGAATTTTTACTGAGCTGCAGAGAATATTTGTCATTGGCTAAAAGTTTTATTTTGGAGAGTAAAATACGGAAATCTGAAAGGCATGCAGAAGAAGCAACTCTCCCATTTCACCTCGTGCTAATTGTAATAAAACTGTCTTCTTCCAAATGTGAGATTAACCTCTTGTTAACTATTTGAAGTTACAGTTGGGTTTTTATTTGAACCAATACATGCATTCAGTGATACAATTGAGAAACACACAGAAAAATTGCTTTTACAGATGCATGATGTTAATAAAAACAGGTTTTAGCTAATTAAAAAAAAATATAATGATCTCTGTTGACCTACAAAATATTGTAGTAAGAGTGGTAGGAATTGATCTACCCAGCTGTGCAAACAACATTTTCCTAAAGAAAAAAACAAAAAAAGCAACCTGAGGGTATAATTTATGGAAAATTGATGTAAATCCAGGATCTCTGTTGGCCTTTTTTCCTCTCTTCACTGCAAATAGGGCTTAAGAACTTAAAATCTGACGTCTTTGTCCACAGGGAGTGGATAATTCTTCCTCTGAAGGGTCACTATCCATGAAGCACAAATCTTGGGATCAGGTTCATAGTCGGAAGGTAAGCCATCATCTGTCCCTGCCTCTAGGTGCTGCTTTGATGCTCTCAGCTAAGAGTCCCCTGGTGGTTGAAGCATTTACTTTGAAAATTTAGGGTTCAAAGCGGTCAGTCAACACAGCTAGCTGATGAAACAGGATTGAGTCTTTTTGTCTTTTTTTTTTCTGAACTACAGCCATTATTACATCCAAGAGCAATCACAATACGCTATAATAAGTAATTTATTTTTAGACCAGATTAAGATCAGAGGCAAAATATTTGCAAAAAAATAATTTTATTTAGCTATATTGAACTAGACTATCTTGAATTAAACTGTACTTCAAAACCTCTCATTGAGATTCAACCTTTTTATCTTGGACTAGCTGCAGCCAGAATGCAAAGGTTTAACATTTTTCTTCAAGGATCTGTCAATTTTCATGGGTATTTTTATTTTTCCTCCAATAACTGCTGCAGTGCATGCTTTAGATTTCTTGATGCACATGATCGAGCTCAGATTAGGAACATTTGCAAATAAAGAGAAAGGTTTTTGATTCGTATGGTTGCTTAAACATTAAATGTGATGCTGGTGGCTAAATTAAAACTTGGAATATCAACCAAACCTAATGTTTAATTGTATGTTGAAGAGACATTTAGTCACAAGTAACACGTATAATAATAGCATTTCCAATAAAAAAAAAACCTGTTATTTGTCAGAAACAATATTTTACAGATGGAAAGTATAAAGTAAGTCCAAGTTTTAGGCCACAATCAGGAGACAAGTCTAAACTGAACCTCATCATAACTTCAAGGTATAACCTTGTTTTAAAAATTCCTAGGCTCAAAGCCATCAAAACAGTTCACCATCATCATTACTGTCGTTAAAATTTTGTTCACAGTACTATGTTTTTTGTTTTTGTTTTTTCTGGTTATATATAACGTAGCATAGAGTAACTCTGGAGACTGATTTGGTGATCTGAGACTCTTCAGAATGACGAGTTCACCACAGCTTGAAAATAATGCCTCCATCAAACATCAGGCACTAGAAGGAATTTCCTGGGAAGATTGTGCTAAAACCAACTTGCTATTAGTGACCTCCCATTCTGAGCTATTAGAGTGACCATCACGGTCTTCTTTTGTTCACCCATCTTTAATATTAGAAGGATTTTATATCAGAAGCATCACTGCTTGTAATTTCTATACATTTATTCTCAAATATCTATTACTCTATTCTAACTAAGGCAATCACTGGCACAGTCTGGCATCCGTGTGAACAACGTTTGATGATAATGAGTTTACGCAGCATGACATCTTCAAGTCCTTAAAGATTTTGTTTTTAATATCACAATGTGTGTTTGACTTGGCACTTCCTCTATGCAAAAAAAAAAAAAAAAAACTTTTCTAATTTATTTTAGCTTAGTTTAGTTTAGTTTGGCACCAAAGGACCACAACCCACCCCCCTTTTTTTTTTTTTTTTTTTTTTTTTAGATAACATTGTTAAAAAAAATAATGTTAGCATATCTGTCGGTACAATAAACAGACTACTCAGTTTACTAGCTCCATAATATCTACTTTTTGGTCCACTGATATGATATTATAAAGAGTGCAGTGTCAGAAAAAAATGTAAGATTCTGTTCCATAAACAAAATTATTTTGGAAATACCGGTAAATGAAAATGCTCTTTATTGTTTCAACATTTGAGGTTACCCTTCCCTTTAAACATATTTAAGCTTTAGTCGACATCCACTTTTAATTTACTCTAGATAGTACATTTCAACCTTAATCTTTAAACGATCAAAAGCTAGTTCTCACTTAACCAATGAGCTTACTTCCATTTTTTGACTGTTGGGGAAACAGTTCTATGTTGTCTTATTATTATTTTGTGTCAAGAGGAAGCAAGACTTAAATAAAATTGCTATACTTATAATTTACATAGCAATAGTTATTATTATATTTAATAATAATTTATGTAGTTTTTGCAAAAAATACCTCCACAAGTTGCAAATATTGTTTTTATACAATATGATACATTTAAAAACATAAACATTTTTATANTTTTTTCTTCACTTTTTGTTTTTAACGCCGTGTCTCTATAAAACCAGATTGTTTCTCCTCAATTACCAAACCATCAGAAGTACAGGACTGTGCTTAATAAAAGACGTCATAATAAATCAAATCTGATGGCAATTTGTATGACTTTAGTAACAAAAAAAAAAAAAAAAAAAAAAAGCTGTAAATTGGTGATGTCATTTAAGCAGAATCAAGCAACATTGCCACATTTGTCAATATGGCTAAATATGTGCTCCAATAAAACATCTTAACATTACTGTTTGTACTGTTTGCTTATATTGCACATATCCTTTAGGGATGCAATTTTTTTCCCCCAGAACTCCTGAGCTGTTTTCCTTCTGCAACATAAAGTGAATGTAATTCAAAGGCAGAAAGGTGAACACTGTCGGTTCAGTTATAAAGAGGACTACAGAATCAAAGGAGATATTTCATGACGCAGAAATCTGTTTTGGCAGATGCTTTGTTTTGAGAACAGTCTCACAACTTTTGTGGAAGCCTTGGTTTCCTAACAGCATGTTTGATTTCACCCTGCAGTGCTCACCAGTGGTGTTGCTGTTTTCACTGATTGTGACAACAGGCCTTGGGTTTGTTTTAGACCAAGAACTGTTACTTGGAAATATTTATGCAGCATTGGAGTATATTTCAATCTCGGCATAATACAGGGAGTATTAATCTTTAAATCATCAATCAGTTATCTGTCATTCCTACAAGACTTTAATTATACAAATGTTTTGTTCGGACTGACCTACTACATTGGTGTAGAAAGGTTTACTGCAGCTCTACTAAATAATAACTGATTTTAGAAGACAGCTTCCAAAAATTAGGTTCTGATTTTATAATAAGTGAAAAAAAATCTCTTTGTTCATCACAACAGGAAACAAAATTATTCAACAGTTAAAATGGCAGAAATGATATATTAGCAAACATAATAATAATAATAATAATAATAATAATAATAATAATAATAATAATAATAATAAAAGCTATGACACACTAAGCTTTTGTTCAGTAAGTGTCTTGTAGCAAAAGGTTTTAGAATTGTTTTTTTCTCTTTTTATGTGTTAATGCCAAATTGCTAAGCACGGTGCGACAATCTTACATTATTTCAGTTTTGCACAAGTTTGGGCTCCGTTTCTCAGAGCTCACATTCAACAAAAGGTCATTACCTGCTTGAAAGCCACCGAGTTCTTACTTACACATGTCCCATCTGGTAAAAGAAGTATGCTTCATCTAAAATCTTAGACGCTATCAGAAGATGCAGCTTGCAGTGTTTTCTAATCATTTCAATTACTCTGGTGTTTGCGATGTAGTCTCAGAAGCACCGGATTTATCAGCTTCGTCAAACCAAACACGAGTGCAGAATTTAATTGCTAAGTCTACTTATTTATCTGTGTAAATAATTCCAAAAATGGATAATGGTGACAGGGGGGTTCGCATTCCTTTTAGATGAATACTAACAAGCATTAGCATGCTGCAATCACCAGTCAGAAAAGCTTCTGATTCTGATACTTGACTACCAGTGACTCATTTGCCATGCCATTATAAGTTTATGATGAAATACCTTCCAGCTTGTTTGGAGAAACTCTGCCAAGCTATTTTAAAATGCACAGTTGACCTTCAAGGAAATGACGCTGACGACATCAGTATCTACAACTCCCCGAGCTCCATGCAGGTCCACATGTCATGAAACCATTTTTTTCTTTTTTTTTTTCTTTTTTTATGCTGATGTATTGCTTTACAGTTATATGGAATGGGAAAACTCAAAAAGTGATGATGGAAGAAAAAACAAAACAAAACAAAAAAACAATTACAAAAATATTTGGAAAAAGGAAAGATTAGATTAATTATAATAGCTCTAAATAATAACAGCACATTCTTAAATATAGACACATTCAAAGTTTTGTTAGAACAGAACAACAAAATTCCTCCCATGTCAACAACAAAGAAGCAAAACATTAATAATCAAGAATCTGCGGCTAACACTACCTGGACAAGGGGCAGTGTTATTGCAAACCCTTGATTCTCTTAAAGGGCCGCTGCAGTGTGTTCCGTATGGTGAGACACATGTTCTTGTTCGCACGTGCGACCCTTGACCACATGTTACAGAGCATGAGCTCCACTGGGACCACTCCTCTGCACCTGATTCACCTGTGTGGGAGAAGGGTGACACTAGTTAAATGCAGCAATACGGTCCTGCGGCACGGCTTACGGAGCGTGGGTGGGGCAAGTTGGGCTGGGTTGAGTAAAGTTGGAAGGGGCCAACATGAGTCACGTTAGGGTTAGAAAGGGGACTCTAAAGATTTACAGAATCGCTATTATACAGTCTGTGCCACCTTTATGTGATCTTTGATGAATACTTGAGCCTAATTCGTCTGACTTCATGTTTAATTTGCATGCAGCACATAAGTGTTTTTCCAACTGCAATTACAGAGAGTAGTTGCATTAATTATGTTTGCAGTGTTCCAGAGCTGTGTAAATTAATCAGTCTTCTACCAGAAAGTAAAAAAAAAAAAAAAAAATGTGTATTTATGCAAAGATCACAGAGAAGGTATTACAGTACACATCACGGTTACATCTAACTTTTTACTTCATTTTCTAAAGAAATGCATGCATTTTGGTAAAACTGAAAGCAAAACAAAAAAATTTACAAGAGTGTGGTGACATGCAAGAAAGACAACATCTGCAAAAAAATAAAAAATAGAAAATGGAATTTAATGGTGTTAGTTCAGGAAAAAAGGATTTTAGAGGAGGATTCCCTTGCACTGCGGTGAACCATCTACGTTTGATAACATTGATGAAAGGCTATTGGTTTTGAAATTTGTTTTTATATGATAACCTTGTTATCAAGGAAAATTATAACTTTAGCAGTATTTTTTTTTTTTTTTTTTTTTTTTTTAGAAATCACACACATTTTCATTTTTGGGTTAGACCTTTTCTCAAATTAAGTTCAAATTGTGGTGCCAAAAAGTTGCTTTGAACCACAAAGAAGGGAGCATTCTGTTTCCACGGATCACGTTTTTAAGGCTGCATGATTCCACAGTTATGTAAATCTGTATGCAGACTTCGAACAAAGTTACCACATATATTTATTGATGGGTATGTAAGTAATATAGGAACCCCTATGGGGCCCTTTGTGATTAAAAAAGGCCTTGGATGAAGCCATGTAAATATAATGAAGCATTGAGATGAATTCCAATTTCCTGATAGTCGAAATGCAAAAGGAATCATTTAGTGAGAGTTGTGGAGACAAATTCATCAGAGTTGTCACCAAATAATTGATGTCTGATTATGTCAAACCCCCAGGTGAAGTATTAATTTTCTTTGAGGCTTAATGTTTGAGAGAAACAATTTAACACAGAGATGAACATTTTCGTTTAGTTGCAGCTCTGAATACATTTATGTCATTGTGAGTCATCAGACTGGATCGGAATTAAAAAAAAAAAAAAAAAAAAAAAACACGGTATGCTTTTAACTTGTTTCACGGGACACAGATTCAGCCAAATAGGATCTTAATCCTGCCTTTAATTTTTGGAGATCATAAAAAATAGACTGAAAGGTGGATCAATTTGTTCAATGAGGCAGTATAGGGAGAGTAAATCGGGTGAGAATGAGAAACAGAAAAGCCCAGCAATGTGACTCAACAGGGGAACAGACACACCTGCGGCGGATGGAGAGGAGGAATGTTAATGAGTGTGTATTAGTACAGGCATGTATGTGTTGGATGTGTTGTGTTTTATAAATCAAAACGGCAATGAAAGGAAAGACGGTTGTCAAACAATGGCAGAAATATAAATGGATCAACCCATGACAAAAATAAAAACATTTCCCAAAATCAAAATAAGGAAAATAAAAATCTCAATAACAGTTAGATATAAACCCACCCATGTGAGGAAAAAAAAAAAAAAGATTTTTCTAATTAAAACACAAAAGAACTTAAAACTAAAAACTCAATATTGTTGGTTTAATTTCTGTTAGCCTTATTTTCTTTTTTAATTAAAGTTAGAAAAGTATAGGGTGACATGTCATAAGATGCATTAAATGAATTTAGATCCCTTCTGGCTTTAACAATGAATTTGATGCTGCCCTTGATAAAGCCACAAAGCTTCAGTGATTCTCTAAGGGCAGCATCTATCAGTTCACTTTTAGAAAGTGTTTCGTTTTTGCTCAAGGGTCCTTTTTTTTTTTTTTTTTTTTCAAATGACATTTAATTTATTGTGTCTAGGAGGAAAATGATTAACCACATCAGTTCCTTACTTTTGAACTGCTGTTTAATTAATGTTCTTCAAAAAGTCTGTGTGAATAAGCCACTTGTCACCTCACTATATGACAATGAAAGAAACATTCACAAAAAAAAATTAGGCTCTAAATTCAAAGTAAATACTCATGAATAGATGGGAAATTTATTGTCCTTAATTTTATATGTGGCGTTTGAGAATGGGAAGGGAAAAATAAAAATGCAAAACATTTCCACTTGAAAAGTGCAGTACAAGAGAGAGCATGCATGATGAAATTAAGTTTAGTTAACAAAATAAAGTAAAGAAACATAGCTATTGCATTACCAGTTTGTGCCATAAATTTAGCAGATTCAGCTTGCTCCTTCAGGGCCTTTGTGTCATGAACTGATCGTGGCCGCTGACTTTTTACTGTATGCTCTCCGATCATTCCATATTCTATGGGACAAAATAGAGGTTCATATGAAAGCTAGGCTTAAACATGATCTTCTTAAAGAACAAAAGCTTATTACATTCTGTTTTCAGGATATTTGAAGCAAACTGCAATACATGGCTAGAAACAAAGACCACACAAGTTTTTTTTGTTGTTTTTTTTTCTCTTTCTTTTAAAAAATCTCATTTTGTTCTCTCTATGGCATAGAACAATGCAACAAATTTTTAAGGGTGAGTTGGAAGTATTAATTGAACTTGAAAGCACAGCGAAGACATATAGAAAACATGCAAGTAATTTCACTCTGGTTTAGACGAGTCTGGCAAATTATTCAACCAGCTACAAGCCCACCCTCCTTCCCTCCCACCTGCGCACCCATAAAAGAAAACAAAGATAAATGAAAGTAAAAATGTGTAAGCCATCAGAAAGCCACATAGGAAGGGGGTCATGGACATAGCATGCTATTGATCCACGGTTTCCTCGGTAAACTCACATTTTCATTCAATTCTTTTTGGTTGACCAAAGCCCAAAATATAACCGTATACAAATGTATTCTGAGCTGTATACATTACAGTGCATGTCCTCTTTGTTTCCCACAGAGGAACAAAGACACAATGAGAACAGTGCAACGACACTGAGAAAAGTGATGCTAGTAATAGTGTGTTTGGAATTTGCATCAGCTGTTTGAAGTAAATCCGAGACAGCGATCGATACTTAAATAGCTTATGCAAATTATTTGATACTTCAAGTTTTGATTTAAAACTAGCATTACTTCTGGCAGTGTGGGCCGAATGGGATGATTTTGTCGTTTGCTGTTTGGCAATACACGTGATGCATTAACAACAGATTCACACATAACTTATGTTAGTACATCAGACAGTACAATGCATCAGCCAGTGATATGGATGTTTAAAGTCTTGACTCTATGTTTAAAGGGCTGGTGCAGAATTTTTGAAGTGAGGTTCTGCCAATGAATATATAAGTGATGTATATCTTACCTGCAGCTGTTAGTTCTCTTGGCCCAATACGGTACCAAGACCAAACCAGACTTAAAGTGGTTTATGTGCAAGTCAGTTTATTATTGATTTACAAAGGAGATGATATTTATTTACACAGCAAATGGAGGCAGAAGCAGAGCAAGGCCAATTATCTGTCAGCGTGAAACCCACATTAAGAATGAAACCGAAAGTTTTTGTCCAGAGAAGCTGATTGATAGAGTTGCACGAAGGGTAAAAATGCATAAAATTAGAGTACATTTAAATCACTATTGTCTGTTTGCTTTTTACAACATTTTAACATAAAATTTTTTACTTTACTCTGAATTAAAGTGTTTAATTGATAACTTTGCTCTGTTCTCAGTACACACAAGAAAAACCTTTGATGAGCGCTGCCTCTAAAATCCTCTTCTGCAAAAATTCATTAGCTTAGTCATAAATAATCTCTTGCTCCAAAATGTATTGACGGTTTTAAAATAACTAAATTTGAGCTCATGTGAACTGCTTTTTTTAACTGGAGTTAATACGATAGAAGTTTGTCTTGGTCTTGGACCCTTCTTGGACTGGCTATAATTTATAGCCATTTTGGATTCATGCTAAATAATGATGCCCAGAGAGTTGTCCACTGCAGGCAAGATATGAACTGGCTTCATAGTTTTCATCAGAAACTCTCTTCAAAATGTTAAACTGCCTCAGATCCCTGCATTCCCCAACTTTCAGACGGCTAACATCCTTTGACTTCTATGTTCACAAGGTATAAAGTGGGAAATCAATCATCTCAAATGATCTATTCATTACTTTTTCAAAATGTTTTAATAAACTATGTGGTCACAACCAGAAGAGCCAGCAGCCCGACAAAACAAATGGTATTAATCTGATTGTGTTAAACAATGGGTCCATAATTGGAATAAAGGGAAAAAA